TTACCAAGTTTGGTATTGCGCAGAATGTTGCATAATCCTCGTTCTGACATGTGTTTGTGTTGTTCAAGCTCTGGTGGTCCTCCTGATGGGGGAGCTGTGTCCATAGTGAAGTGCACAGTGCAGCGGTAGAAAGCAACAGAGTGCGTTTACTCATCTGCTGCACCATCTGCATTTATCAAGTCCTGCTACTTTTATACAGTAGATTTCAGAGGGAACTATTGTACTTTTTACTTTTAACAACCACAGAGAATGCTACATTAAATGTCCTCAGAATGTTTCAGGGAATTGAGCAAGTAGAGGTATAAGATGTTTCTGTATTCTGTTTGTACACTTCAGTCATTTTAGACTTTGTATATTCAAATTTCTCTATACTTTTAGGCAGTAAAGTTTTTTGGGTTTTTTTTCAATTTAAATGAAAGCTTCAGTATTCCCCCATCGGAATTTTCTCACTGGCATCGTGGAGAGGCCTTTTGAAGCAGGCTTTGGGAAGTAGAATTCACAGAAGTATGATTTAACAGTTGAAGGAAACACGACGAGAGCGAGCAATTCAAAGATTTTAGATTTTTTGTTTTGTTTATCTTTATGTCTAAATTCTGGTGGTTTGGAGATTTGCTGGAGGGACTTAAACTTCCTTGATATATTGAAACTATTTTTATTCATAATTTTCCGAAAGAGGGTCATACACTCAAACATTAATCTATGACAAACATTGCTTACACAAATTGTCACTGGTAAGTACACAATCATGTGGGAAACCAATGACAATGCTTTCAAAACAACAATATAGAGTCAATGCACTTATTGGGTTGATAAGTGTGCACAGTAATCTGGACAAGCAGTGAGGTAAAAAGGATAAACCTTCATCCCTGTGATAGAGGATGCAGAGGCGTTGAAGGGTTAGGCTTTATTGTAGAAATATTTTAGATTTCAAGATTTTAAGTTAGATCGCATCAGACAATACAGGAATAGCTTCAGACAGATCAGACAGAAAAAAAAGTTGCATGGTTAAAAATACTAAGGTCATAATGCCATAAAGGAGTTTTTAATATAATATAGGATTGATCATTAAAGGCAAATACATATCCCAATACTGAAATAAGTGTAACAAGTTGTAGATTCATAATAAAACACAACATTGCATTTTAAATGCAGTGGTCACAAGCAAACAATAAGAATTTGACAAAAAAAAGTGATGACAAAGAATAACAGCAAATAAATACTTATATAAAATAATAATGATGTCAAACAGTATTGAAATTTAGATTTTACATGTTAAAAAAAATGGATTCAAGTGTTTTACAGTATAAGTAGTTAATATTAGCTTCATGTCAACCTGCTCCAACATCAAAGACACTGATGCATCAGTAATAATAATAATGACGTTACTTATAACTCCATATAATTGCCTTTGAATACGTTTCCTCTAATAAGACATGTGTTCACATAAGTAGAATTTTAAAGACGGACTGGAGCTTTAATGGATTATTTTACACTGTGTTATTGCTCCTCTTACTTAAGTAGAGGATGTAAACACGTCTTCCTCCACTGTCAGAGTGATGGGAGTTGAGGGAAATAAACAGTCTTCTCTTATGATGATTAGTGCGAGTGCGCTATATTGATCAGCGGTCATACGATAAACAGTGGAGAACAGGAATGCACCGCCGATCGTTTGAGCCCCATTAGTCGCTGCTTGTATTGCCTTTGATTATTGCTGACTGAGCTCCCAGTGCATGTGATGGCTTTTTACTGCTAGAACTGCTGCTTTCAACCCTTTTTCCTTTCCTTTTTATTTTTTTTTTTGAGGAGCACATTAAAACAGCACTGGCTCAAAAAACAAACCACTCCATGTCTGCTGTCACGCTGAAGCTGCGTCTCATACACAAAGACAGGTTTGTCGTTGGGTTTTTTTTTTTTTTTCGAGGAGATTAACACTGGATTTAGAATCTTGTGATGCCTCAAATCAGATGAATCTCATGAGGTATAGGGACTCACACCTGCACAAATACACACTCGTGCAGACTCGGTGACAATCAAATGCATTTAAGACCTGCCTCGGAGGCTAAATCCTGTTCTGAAGCAGGCCAGCGACGCAGGCTCACAAGACAGACGTGACAGAGTCGACAGTGACAGTGATGATGATGGTGATTGTGGTAATAATGATTATGCTGATTATTACGAGGCCGCCACAGAGATGTGGTGATTGCGCCGCAAGGAAGAAATAGAGGAAGACAAAGGGCGACACTGACAAAACTGATGATGAGGATGATGATGATTAGAATCCCTCAGTTTTTTTTTTTCTTGCTTTTGGTGATCAACTGTGTGCCTTTTGCAGCCGTTGTTGATCTTTCTTTAATTGGCAGAAAAGAAGTGTGGGGAGTTAACCAAAGATATCTCTACCGCGTCTGAGGGCTTTGATTTCACATGACAAAAAGAAAAGGCACTGTTGAGAACATTCCAGCAACTCCCTTTGAAGGGAGTGATCTGGCAGTGCTCATTTGAATTATTAACGGAGCAAAAAAGGAGAGCAAAAGAGCGAGAGACAGAAAAACACATAGAGGAGAGACAGGGCGATGGATTCCTATCTTTAGCAGGATGATGCCAAATTGTTCAGCTTAAACCACGTCAAACGTCTGTGATGACTGATCTTTGCATCAAACAGTCAGGCCAATTATCCAGGAATGAGACTGTGTGCTGGCAATAAAGATGGCTGCCGGTGGAGGTGAGCATTTGTTTGAATTACCGATGTTTTATTAGTCGGCCTCCTTCAGTGGAGTTCATGAAATACAAGTATGAATATGTAATTACAGGTCAGTCGTCCCCCTGCTGCTGAATTATTTAATCTGCAGAGGAAGTGTCCCAGAGCGAGTTAATTCTCTCCGTGGTAGTGTTGTGTCTGCCACAGCAGGACCCCATCATTACTGTTGGTGCAGGCCAAAGCAGCAAGCAGGAGACTTTTTTAAACTCGGTTGCAGAAAAATGGAGAAACAAAAAATCATTTCAGTCGAGCTTATAATGTGATAACGTGATAATTCTCACTTCATTATGCAATCTGACATTTTGGCCATTTTATGGTGAGGAGCATTCAGTAGCACGTGACATATCCTTCCATTAAAGGTACGGTTGGTAATTTCTTTCCTGGACGCTTTATATCTTATTTTTTGAAATCCTCTTCACGTCCAAATAATCAATAAATAGTTATAATAATAGCCACTAACTGACCTGCTGGCCTGTGTGCACCCTGCCCATGCTGAAGCAAAGACAATAGCAAGATGTCAGCAAGTGAGTTACGGAAACGTCATCATCTAGCAGCTGTCAGGCAGTGCACGTTCATGTTTTTTGTGGGCGTAGCTTTGACAAGAGGGCCAATCTAAGGGGGTGGAATATGTCTGTGTAGCCTACCCCATGCTAGCTTTTGCAGGATTGCCAACCCCAGCTTAAAATATCACTTTCCTTGGATACATAAGATGCAGTAGCATGTCTGAGGAGCAGTTTTTATTTGTCCTACATCAGTGGAAGAAATAAACTGATTTAAGACTTGTCACAAAGTGGAAGATCTACGCAGATAAAGACGTCGGGTCGCAGCATACAAGCTGATCATCTCCCACGAGCACGATATCGTCCTGTTTGGCTGCATCAGTCTCATCTTGTCGCCATTTTTGTGACAGGTTTCTTTTTCTGTTGCCATTATTCTGACTCTGGCACTGGAAGATAACATCCCTGTTCTTAATCCTGCCTACAGGTCTTTGATTGTCTGGGGTTTTTTTTTTTTTTTTTTTCATCAACATCATTGAGCCAGATCTATTTGAATCACTGAAAACAATTTGCGATGTGGACACGCAATTCACAAGTCTGGAACCAGGAAAAATAAAGAAGAAGGTACTCACAAGATAAAAATCCTCTTCTGAGGTCCAAGGTTTAACTTTTAATTGGTTCATTCTTAATCATTCTATCTCGTCTTTGGTGGCATATCAATATCATGCTTGAGGATCTAAAGATACAGGGCATTATACAGTATATATATATATATATATATATATATCATGCACATTATACAGATTGTTAATTTGCTTAATTTGACTTGTTTGCAATAAGAATCCTGAAATCAAGAGTCAGTAGGACCTAAATGACCTGCGTTCCGCCGATCTCTCCTGAGACATCGAGGTTTTGAAGCCACATTTGTGATGAATTCCATTCGTTTCCCTGCATTTTTAAGGTAATGCGGTATCCATAACTGACTGGCGCCCATGATGTAACAGATACATCATGTGCATTCTCTCTGTCTGCTTCTTTTTAAGCCGTTTCAAACAGAATTAATCAAAAAGATACATTAAAAGGAAACTCTGAGTTGTTTTTCTTGTACAGTTTAGCGTGCTCCTCAGTACATGCTTGGATGGATGCATATTTACAGCTCAGTAGATGCAAGAGCAGATGAAGAAGGATGTCACGACCGGGCCTAATAACAGCCTGTTTTTTTCTTTTTGTGCATTTTCCCCCGGCTTCACGAATTTATCTGCTACACATGCTGTACAGTATGTGTCCTTGAGCGTGCAAACTCACACACACACACACACACACACACACAGGGTGAGGTAGTGCTGGCCACTGAGTATGTGTGTGTGTGTTTATGTATGTGTTTGCAGGGCAGGGGGGGGGGGGCACAATTAAAAGGCAGCGTGCAGTGTCCCAGGAGGTGCTAATGCCCAGGATCAGCTGTTCTAATGTCATTCACATCCCCTCTGTTACTCAGCCGACCTCGTTTGATGTATGAATCCACCGGGGACTTCAGTAACCCCCACCACCAAAACCCACCCACCCAAATGCTACCACCACCACTTCTTTTCATACCCCCACCCTAACCAACCCAACCCTGGCTCTACAACCCCTCCTCCGCATCCTCCTCCTCATCCTCCTCCTCCTCGGCTTGCACAGAACCTCCCCTTCTGTGTCTGAATGCTTATGTTGGCTTTTATCGTGCTCAAAGTAAACAGAGTCGCGCCAGGGATAGTGGGAGAGAGAGAGAGCGAGAGAGGGAGAGAAAGAAACAGAGAGAGAGAGAGAGAGAGCAATAGTGATAAAGGTGGAACATGCACATTGTCTGCGCGCTGCTCGCATTCCTGCTACATCTTCAATAGAGACACAAAAGCCAGCAAAAGGGAAATTTAAAAAGGCAAGAGGAGGCAGAAGACAGGAGGGGATCCAGAGAAAAAGAAAGAGAGTGAGTGGGAGCGAGTGGGCCAGCGAGAGAGAGAAAGGGCGAGAGAGGAAGAAAGAGAGTAGAGCGAAAGGATCTCCCTGCTAAATGCGCAAAGCGTCCCGTCACCCCACGCTGAGCTCCATGGCCAACTCCGGCTGCCTGCTGCTCTCCGGCTCCGGGATGCTACCTCACTCGCTCCAGTGTCCCCCTGCCTTCCTCTACCTGCCCGAGGTAAGACTGAATGAAGCTCGCTTTGTCACCCTCTCTCTCTCTCTTTCTCTCCCTCTCTCTCCCGTTCCCCTCTCACTTGCTCTCTCCATCCATGCCTCTCATCCCTCCGTGCGCTCCTCCGCGGCACGTGATTGCATCGCGCTCGCTTTGTGCTGTTACCCGGAGTACCCCCCCCCCCCCCCCCCAGCGCCCCCTAACCCTTGACCCTCACCCTGTCCATGTGAAAGGGAGGGTCACCCCCTTACATTTGCCCTCTCTTCTGTTCCTCTCATCCTCCTCTCCTCGTGTCGCTTGCTGCCCTGCACCCCGTTTCTGAATGAAATTAAAAACAGCGAATTGGCAATTTTACTGTGACGCGGGACCACGCAGCAGTGTTTGTGTACATCTGTAGCCTCGTGACTCACTGAGCTGGAAGTGTTTCCTCCTCTAGTTTGTTGTGTTCACACTTGGCCATCGCTGCTCTCTCTGCCGCAAAGATAAAGATAGTTCTGAGTCAGGTGTGTTTTTAAAATGAGACAAAAAAGACTTGTGCTGCGAGGCTGCAGGAGGGTGCCAACTTTTTATTTAGCTGCTTTTAGAATTATGCAGAAAACACCTCATTTATTGAGACGTAGTGTATGTGTGTGTGTGATTGTGTGTGTGTGTGTGTGTGTGTGCGTGTGTGTATGTGTGTGTGTGTGTGTATGTGTGTGTGCGTGGAGCCTACATTTTCACCCAATCTGACCCCAGGCCACTCAACATTTCCAAAACCAGATTCCAGCTAAAATTCATCTTCAACCCCTGAAATCTAGAAGTTAAAGCCATTACAGCAACGGAATCATTATGTGGCGCTCCAGTGCTGGTACTTCAGAAATTATCAAGTTCATATTACATGTGTGGCATGTAAACTAATACTAAATTGTCTGAAATTGACGGTGAATAATTTTAATTCTTTCTCATCTCGTCTGTTTTTTTTAGTGTTTTGTTTGGCTTATTGTTTAAGGATGTTTTACACATTAAATTTAAATACACACTACATCCAGACCTGAAAAAGAAAGCTACATTTCCCTGTTTGTCAGAGGGCCCACAGTGAGTTCTTCATATTTCTAATGTTAATCACGACCAAGTGACAACACTTTGAATAATTATACATCTCTGCAAATTAATATTGATTTTCGCTTTTTTCCTTTTTTTGTCACCCTCCTTTGGAAATTGATTCAGTCACTGATCCCCTTGTTTTGTGAAACCTGAAGACTACAATTTTCTGAAGGGAGGTGAAAAATCAACAACAAGGTGACTCTTAAGAGACCGTGTGCCTGTCTAGCTCCTGAATTATTCACATGTTTTAATTCAGCGAGTTGGGGTCGGGAGTGCTGTGAGTGCTGGGATGATGGGGGCTGCATGGGTGGAGGGTGTGTGTGTGTGTGTGTGTGTGTTGTTTGGTTGGGTGGTGGCGGGGGGTCGAGCGTCCAATTCTGTTTTTACTACTGGCAGCATGTGTTGCAGTAAACAGTATGTGTGTTATACTGCAGTGATGCAGGGGCTCATGATGGAAACCCCTGTTTTCTCATTTTGAGTCCCGCTGCCTCCCCCCTTTCTCCCCCTGCCATCATGGTAATGGCCCTCACCCCCTCCCACCCATCTGTCCAGAGCGGGCAAACCCCACCGGCCAGCCAGGCACAGGGTGATGACCAGGCTCCACCAACGCACACCAACTATAGACAAACCAACACGTCTTCCACTTTCATACAGTCATACAAGATTCACTAATAGTTCAAGTAAAACTGAATTTAAAATTAAGGATAATCTACGACCTCAGTATCTGCAAACATGACAAACCGTTTTTTACTTATTGAATTAAAAAAAAAGGATTTTATTTTAAAATCATTTTGATTTTTATGTTGTGAAAAAGCTTTCCAAGATCCACAAGTAAAACTGTGAGTAAACCCAGTTCAGGTGGGTTTACCTGCCACTACATTCCCCCTTATCCAAATCCTCTGGACGGCCAGTAAGCCTCTTGAGTGTGTGTGTGTGTGTGTGTGTGTGTGTGTGTGTGTGTGTGTGTGTGTGTGTGTGTGTGTGTGCGCCCTGCCACATATGTGTGTTTTTATGTCCACAGTCTGTCCTAGACAGAGCTGAAATTGAAACTTCCTGTGTGCTATTTTCATGAAAAAAACCTTTTTGTTTCAAATCCCTTTAATGTATCAGCAGCTTTTGCTCTTTTTCTTTTCTGCTTTTCTTCTCTCTCTCTCTCTC